TGCTGTCGCGATTACTGGACTTACCGCCGACGAGGATGTCATTGTGAACTTCCCCATCTACCCTTAATTCGACGAACATATGCGATGTGTAATGACCCATTAATAATTCAGATTGCATGTTGCAAGGCATCGCGGTGATTGTAATTCACGCAACATATTCAACTTACCCTGATTGTTATAGTATAGTTTGACTTTGGGCGAATTTCAGTTTTCTCCGGCACTGACTTATCGTGAGAGTCACTGGCCAATCAGGATGTTCAAGAATTTTTGGCAAGCTGGGGGGGGGGGGGGGGGGGGGGGGGGGGGGGGTGGGGGGGGGGGGGTTGATTGCAGGACACTCAATGTCGATGCATCATGTGATTACCGATTGTAATTGCTGATGTTCACATCTTCTGATCGGCAAACCGCACACTTTCCTCTTTTGATGCAGTTGATTTTGTAAGACTTGTGTCAAGGATTGTATACCGTGAGTATAAAACGGTTTGACATCCACTTCGACTACAACCGGCCTGTACTTTATCATCTTTATATTGCAGGACTACAATGGTAAAATCGATCGTTAATAATGTTGTTCAGGGGCTTAAACTACTCTTCTCAAGAATGGTATCTTGATACACTTGTGCCGATGTTTTGATACCCTTTTTCACAAAAATATGGCCTCAGCCACTCCTTCATAAGCTTACAGCCTTTTTTTTAACGTTGGGAAAATGCATTTACGCCATGAGGTGTGGGACTCGCCGGCCAAAGCCATGTACTACCCACTAAAACCTAACAAAACCCCTCCCCCGTCTTAATGGGGCGTCGCAGAATCGCTTACGCATTCAACAACGACGCCCCGACAGTAGGTTTCTGCCGAAGTAGACCACAACCATGGGGTTGCCTCCAAGGTCCAATCTGAGAGAGTGCACAAGGAGCAACCCGCATGGTACCAACACCGCCCACCGAAGAGGGCTACCTCCTACCGTGCCCACCGAAGTGGGCCAGCCTCCCTGCGTGTTTTTCGCGGCTTCCTCCATCGGTTTGTACCCGTTTTGTAACCAGCCGAGTAATTTCGTTTTATTATCATTATTCATACTGCTAATTGAATATATACAATAAGTTCTCGGCTTCTCATCGTTTTGTACCCACCGAAAATTTCGTTTGCTATTAATCATTATACATACGCTAATTAAAAAGTTACAATAAGTTCTCGGCTTCTTCTCGTTTGTACCCGATTGTACCGTGGATTTAATTTAGTTTTGTATGATCATCTATTACACGCTTGCTATTTGATTTTTTACGATAAGTTCTCAGCTTCTCATCGTTTTGTACCCGTTTGTACCGCCGAAGAATTTCGTTTTCTATTAATCATTATACATACGCTAATTGAATGTTACAATAAGTTTCTCCGGGCCCTTCTCTTCGTTTGTACCCGTTTTGTTAACCGTGGAGAATTTAGTTTGTATGATCATTATACACGTGCTAATTGATTTTTTACGATAAGTTCTTCAGCTTCTCATCGTTTGTACCCGTTTTGTACCGCCGAGAATTTCGTTTCTATTATTGCATATATTCATACGCTAATTGAATATTTACAATAAGTTCTCGGCTTCTTTCTCATCGTTTGTACCCGTTTTGTACCGGGGGGGGGGGCCGAGAATTTTCGTTTTCTATTATCATTATTCATACATTAATTGAATATTACAATAAGTTCTTAGCTTCTCATCGTTTGTACCCGTTTGTACCACCCGAGACATTTCGTTTCTGTTTATCATCTATAACATACGCTCATTGAATTGTTACATATAAGTTCTCGGCTTCTCTTCGTTTGTACCCGTTTGTACCGTGATTGAAAGAATTTGGTTTGTATCATCATAATACCACGTGCTAATTGATTTTTTACGATAAGTTCATCAGCCTTCTTATTCGTTTGTGACACCCGTTTTGTACCGCCGAGAATTTCGTTTTTTTTTTTTTTTTCATTATTATACATGCGATAAGTGAATTTTACAATAAGTTCTCGGCTTCCTCACCGTTTGTACCGTTTGTACCCCGAGAAATTGGTTTCTATTGTACCATCATTTATACATACGCTAATTGAATTTACAATAAGTTCTCGGCTTCTCTTCGTTTGTACCCGTTTGGTACCGGGGAGAATTTAGTTATGTATGATCATTATACACGTGCTAATTGATTTTTACGATAAGTTCTCAGCTTCTCATCGTTTGTAACCGTTTGTACCGTGGAGAATTTATTTGTATCATCATTATACAACGTGCTAATTGAATGTTACAATAAGTTCTCAGCTTCTCAATCGTTTGTACCCGTTTTGTACCGCCGAGAATGTTACAATAAGTTTCGGCTTCTCATCGTTTGTACATTCATTATCTATCAGACGCTAATTGAATATTACAATCATTTCTCAGCTTCTCTTCGTTTGTACCCGTTTGTACCGTGGAGAATTTGGTTTGCATCATCATTATAACACGTGATAATTGATTTTTACGATAAGTTCTCAGCTTCTCATCGTTTGTACCCGTTTGTACCCCCGAGAATTTCGTTTCTATTATCATTATTCATACGCTAATTTAATATTACAATAAGTTCTCTAAAGACTTCTCATCGTTTGTACCCGTTTGTACCGTGGAGAATTTGGTTTGTATCATCATTATACACGTGCTTATTGGTGTTTTAAAAACGATTTAGTTCTCAGGCATATGATCGTTTGTACCCGTTTGTACCGCCGAGAATTTCGTTTCTTTCATTATTATACAGTCGATAATTTGAATTTTACAATAAGTTTCTCGGCTTCTCACCGTTTGTACCCGTTTGTACCGAGATTTGGGTTTGTATCATCATTATTACATACGCTAATTTGGAATGTTACAATAAGTTCTCGGCTTCTCTTCGTTTTGTACCCGTTTGTACCGTGGAGAATTTGTTTTGTATCATTCATAATACACGTGCTAATTGATTTTTACGATAAGTTCTCAGCTTCTCATCGTTTGTTTGTTCCCCCTCGAGAATTTCGGTTTTTATTTATCATTATATCATACGCTAATTGAATATGACAATAAGTTCTCGGCTTCTCATCGTTTGTACCCCGAGAATTTCGTTTCTATTATCATTATCATACGCTAATTGTTACAATAAGTTCTCGGCTTCTCATCGTTTGTACCCGTTTGTACCGTTGAGAATTTGGTGTGTATCATCAGTATACACGTGCTTATTGATTTTATACGATAAGTTCTCAAGCTTCTCTTCGTTTTAACCCGTTTGTAACGCCCGAGAATTCCGTTTCTATTATCATTATTTCATACGCTAATTGAATATTAAAATACGTTCTCAGCTTCTCATCGTTTGTACCCGTTTGTACCGCCGAGAATTTCGTTTTCTTTCATCTCATTCATCGTTTGTATTTGTACCGAGAATTTTCTAATATACATGCGATCTTGAATTTTACAATAAGTTCTCGGCTTCTCATCGTTTGTACCGACGAGAATTTGGTTTGTATTCATCCGTATACATACGCTAATTGAATGTTACAAGAAGTTCTCGGCTTCCTCTTCTTTTATATACCCGTTTGTACCGTGGAGAATTTAGTTTGTATCATCATTATACCACGTGGCTAATTGAATTTTTAAACGATAAGTTCTCAGCTTCTCACACCGTTTGTACCCGTTTTGTAACCCCGAGAATTTCGTTTCTATTATCCTTATACATACGCTAACTGACGGTTACAATACGTTTCTCGGCTTGTCATTTGTTTGTACCCCGTTTATAACGCAAAGATTTTTTTTGTAGGAAAAGAAAAAAAAAATAATGTACATATATTTATAACACATGATATGTTTTTTTTTATTTATGTATACCTTTTTCAGTTCTAATAATCGGTATAATCCTGTTTACAAACGATATACTTCCATTTGGCCTCAACAAACATGTCGTATTGGCTGTGTCTTTAGATTGGCTGTGTGTCAACGATACATGTTTTGTCACCCCTTTATATTTTCTCGACCCCTTAGAGGTACCAACGATTTTTAAGGAAGCGTGTACAATCCAGTTCAAACGATATGCTTCCAATTGGCATCAACAAAAATGTTCGTATTTTTAGGTTGGCTGTGAATAAAAAAAAAAAATAACCATACTTATTTTTTGCACCCCCTATATTTCTCACTCCCTTTGAGGTACAAACGATATTTAAGGGCGGTACAATCAGTACAAACGTTATGCTTCCAATTGGCATCAACAAAAATGTTTTAATTTTTTTGTTTTTGTTTACATTTTTTCGCACACCCTTTTTTTTTTTCACCCCTTTGAGGTTTAACGATTTAAGTGGCGGTCAATCCGTACAAAACGATATGCTTCCAATTGGCATCAACAAAAAACGTGCATATTTTTTTAGGTTGTCTGTGAACCATATATATATTCGAACCCCCCATATTGCTCACCCCTTTGAGGTACAAACAATTGAAAAAAGCGGTAGCATCCGGTACAAACGTAGTACAAATCGAATAAAATTGATAAAAACTAATTATTGTTTAGTCAGTTTCTAACTTCACATAGGTTTAATGATCAGACCCCAATACGTCATACTTAACATATACATTTAAAATTGAAGATACAGCGGATTTAGTGGTCACACAGTGATCAAGCCACCTTCTCGACCCGTTTGGCCTCACTAACAAAAGTGTCAGATTTCCAGAACTAACACCTAAAAGCTGTACATCCGCACACGCCCCAATTCTTGTTCATCACAAAAACACATTACCTCATCCTACAACCTATTATTTGGATGCGCATTAAAGTCACCAAGAATGTAAACACATTCGATATTCCTATTATTAATAAGATCACTCACCGAACTGAGGCAATCCGTGAATTCCGTAAGGTTTATCATTTTATCCGTAGGCATATACACGTAAACACTAAAATAGACCTATCGCTCAACACTATTTTTTAGGCACATATTCGTGGGTTTTCACAATCCACCATCAGACACATTAGGAAATACACTTTTATTCCACAACCATCGCTACACCTCCACTAAGGACGGCCGTACACGACGCCAGCCGCCGTATCAATAGCAGAAGTGCACGCGTGCTGCCGAAACGCCCGTTCAATCCCGCTAAGAACCTGAATATCGTTTGGGAATAACCATGTTTTCACTGTAAGGCTATTATGTCCGCCAACTGACGACAGTGTCCCTCACATTGTCTATTGAGCGTTTTAAATTACTTTTTACCAATTGAAACTTACTAAGTTACACGGGAGACTATTATCCATTGGCAAAAATTAAAGCAACAAATTAAATTATTTTTCAGCTAGCGACTCACCCTCGCTTTGTTTGGGTTCATCCCCATTTTAACCCCCTTAAGGGATGATTTCTGGGACAAAAAAATATCTTTTGTTCTTCCCAGGGTCTCAACGACTAACTTCTTACCTACTTTCATCTAAATCAGTTCCAGTAGATCCAGAGATTGTCCCCTAGAATGTCAGAAAAAGAAAAAAAAAAAAACAAACTCACAAATTTTTACCTCTTTATAATATTATTTTATATTAGTTTAGATTTAATTTTACCTGCATTTATAAGAAGTATTATTTATTTAAACAAAACTGTTCTTGATTTGAATATAATAATTAGCAGAAAATAAAAAGGTTGAAAATTACTTTAAACAGATTTACTATAAATAAGTAGGGAACGCTCGGTGGGCTAGTCCGACTCGCACGTGTCCCCGTAATTTTTAGATCAAAATTTCCATGTCGGACAGCGTTCAAAGTCAAACCAATAACTAACGAGTAGTGCGTTCGTTTGGTAGTGTTTCCTCCTTGTGCACGTCATTAATGTTTTTATGCGGCATTGCGACCGGGACGAACGGACATCTATACTTTTTAAAGCAAATACATAAAACTGTATGCGTAGAGGACAAATCCATATTTTTTTCAAATTTTTTGTTTCTCTGTCTGTTTTGTCTGTTTGTACAAGGCTAATCTCCGATCCTATTGGACCGATTTAAAATGAAATATCATATCCCCGAGCAACATCTTAGATACTTTTCATCCCGGAAAATTAAAGAGTTCCCGTGTGATAATAATAATAATAATAATAATAAGCCTTTATTCGCCAAGATAACAACACATAGGAAAAGTTTTATATAATTTTTACGTATTACAGTTAAATAAAATTACATACGAAATTACAAATACATAGAATAATACTTATGAATCATAGCTATTATTGACATAATAAAATGGAAATGTTTTTTTTTTTTTACAAAACATTCCTTTTATAAAAACTATTAATTATTATTTATTTATCTTTTTTTAATTTGTTTTTTTTTTTGTTTTTTTTTTTTAAATCTATATAAGCATATCATAATTATTCGTATTTTTTTTTTTTTTTTTTTTTTTTTTTAGTGATGTATTTGTGATTAATAATTATATATTATTATTATCCATCTTGGGAACCCATTTTCGGGTATAGGCCTCCTCCATCCGCTTCCATTCTTGTCTGTCCTTCGCGATTCTAGTCCAGGTGGCGCCGGCTACAGCTTCGATGTCGTCTCTCCAGCGCGCGCGCGGTCGGCCGCGGCCCCGGCGTTGCTCGCGCGGCCACCAATGTAGCACTCGCTCGCTCCACCGGCCGTCGGTCGCGCGGGCAGCATGTCCAGCCCATCGCCATTTGAGTCTACAGGCTTCCTCAGCTGCATCTGTCACTTTTGTTCTTTTTCTTATTTCCGACTGACGCTGTCGATCTCTGAGATGAATTCCGAGTATGCTTCTTTCAGCTGCCCTTTGGAAAATTTGTAGCTTATGGATTAGAGTTTTTGTTAGTGCCCATGTTTGGCAGCCGTAAAGTAGTGTTGGTAAAATTATTGAGTCCATGGCTTTCTTTTTCAGTGCTAGTGGTAGTTTTGATTTAAAAGATGTTTTTAAAGACCAGTACTTTCTCCACGCCAGTTTTATGCGTCGTTCTACTTCTTTTTTTGTATTGTCAGTAAATGATATACTTTGACCCAGGTAAACATATTCTTTTACGTATTTAATATAATTTGATTCGATCATAGTGTGGATCTCATTTGCGTTAGTCATTATACAAGTTTTGTTCATGTTCATTTTCAACCCGCATTTTATGCTTTCTTCGTTGAGCGTTTGGAGCATGTGTGAGAGGTCATTATGGTTGTCGCTTAAGATAACTATGTCGTCGGCAAACCTAAGATGATTCAGGTACTCACCATTTATTTTTATTCCCATGCCATCCCAACTTAGTTTTGAGAATATATATTCTAGTAGAGCGGTAAATAGGTTTGGTGAGATAGGGTCTCCTTGCCTCACTCCCCTCCTTACTTTGAAGGTCTCGCCTACTTGATCGAGTCTTATTTGAGCTGTACTTCTTTTATATATTTCCTTCAGGATCGCTATGTATTTATCTTCTATATTGTTGAACTTGAGAGCTTTCCAGAGTGATTCATGCGATATAGAGTCGAATGCTTTGGCGTAATCTATAAATGCAATGTAGAGTGATATTTTATATTCGGTAGACCGTTCAATTATTTGGTTTAGAGTGAAAATATGATCAACTGTGCTATAATTTTTTCTGAATCCTGCTTGCTCTTTCGGTTGGTTGAAATCTAGAGTTGTTTTGATTCTTCGCAATAGTATGTTGGTGAATAATTTATATAAGCTTTGTAGTAGGCTTATAGGTCGATAGTTGCCTATATCTAGAGGATCTCCTTTTTTATATAACAGCGTGATTATAGAATTTTCCCACTCTTCAGGTATCTTATTTTGTTCCATAATTTCGTTAAAGAGATTTGTGAGTATAGGGGCTATAGACTCAGATAAGGCTTTTAATATATCGTTTGTTATTCCATCTTGACCTGGGCTCTTCGACGACTTTAAGGATTCTATACCTGTTCTTATTTCACTTTGAGTTAAAGCCGGGATATTTTCTATATATTCTTTGTGACCGATGTTGTTGTCGATGCAAGTTGGGCTTATGTCAGAGTTTTTGTAGAGGTTTTCATAGTACATCGTCGCTAGTTTAAGTAATCCTGTTCTTTTACTAATTTTGTCTCCTGTGGATGCTTTCAGTGAGGTAATCCAGTCTCTATGTTTCGACAAACGTTTTTCTGACCGTTTGACTGAGCCTCTATCTTTAAGTTCTTCTTCAATGATTTTATACTTTAGTTGATATTTTTTCTTTTTTATTATTTCTTTTATTTTATGATAGAGTTTTGTTAATCTTTTCCTTTCTTCCTTCGATCTGTGCTTCTTAGATTTTAAGTATAATTTTTCCTGAATTAGTTCTCTTACATAGTCATTAAATATAATTTCATTTTCTGATTTTTCCTTTAGTTTTGGTAGTTGGTTGATAATTTCTTTAATTTGTAACGTTAAATCTGTATATTTTTGTTCAGTGTTTTTACCTTCCGTACTATAACTTTCCCGTATTTCAGAAAATTTGCGTTTGATCGTTTCTTTTTCTATGCAGGTGAGCTGAACTTTCTTATGGCCAAATGATTTTCTGTCCTTCTTCACATTGTACTTTAAATTATACACTATTCTTAACAGTCTATGGTCTGTGCTAAAAGTTGTATCAATAGTTTGAATATTGTTTATTTTTCTCATATCCCTTGTTATGACATAGTCAATTTCGTTGCGTACAGCCCCGTCAGGTGATACCCAAGTCCACCTTTTTTTCAAATTCTTCTTAAAGAATGTGTTAGCTATGTAGAGCTGATGTTCGAGGCAGAACTGTATTAAGATTTCACCCCGGTTATTTCTTCTACCATAGCCCCATTTTCCTGTAGTTTTCCCGTCGTCTGACGTAGTTTGTCCTATTTTTGCGTTAAAATCTCCTAGGATTATGGTGTTTTTATTTGACTTCCGTAGAGCTGTATCGAGATTTTTGTAGAATTTATCGAGATCTTCCTCGGTTGATTTTTCTGTCGGTGAGTATGCTTGTATTAAAGAGAGACGTTCATTTCCAAATTTAAAGTCTAGTTTAGCAACTCTATCGGAGATGGGCGTAAATTCATCTATATTGGATTTTAAGTGTTTTTTTACCATAAAGCCAACGCCATTTAAGCCTGCCTTTTCTCCTTTGAACATCATTATGTAGTCTTCATACTCTATTATTTTGGTTCCTACTAATTTTATTTCTGACAAGCCGAGTATATCCCATTTTATGTTTTCAAGAGCATATTCAAGTTCATTTTTTCTACCTTCAGCAACAAGAGAGCGTATATTATACGTTCCAATATGTAAGTGTTTCATTTGGATGGAGGGTGTGGTCGA